GGAGAAGATCTTGATTAGGTTAAAACCGAAACCAAGCCATTCACAGAGAACGCATATTCAGCGCATTTTTTTAGACGGACAAATATGACTGCTGCACTCGCGTCTCACAGAAGAGATGTATAGAAAGCCATGCAAAGTTAAAACAGTTTAAACTTTTAGAAAACACGTTGCAAATTTGTGGAGGTTTATTCCTTTTCACTGCGTCTCTTATGTTTTTAAACGCAATCTGCGTGATGGCCGATTTGGCTCTTTGTATTAAGCAATGCATAAATACATGATACTGTTTTGTTCATAATTGTTAATGCAGTTTACGAAATTATATTTGATTTATATGAGTTAATTTAGACATAATTAACGTTTTTTTATAGACAGTTATTCCCATGCGTTGACATTATGTGCTGCATTATTTTGCTCATTGCGCCCTCCTGTGGCCTCGGGAGACAAGACAAAAATTTCCTTAAAACCTATTTAATCTGCATATAAAACATTAGAAATTAGATATTTGTTACATTTTTATTGTGTTTGACTGTTAAAAAAAATAAAAAAATTGTTGTTTGTCTCAATAAATTGGGTTAATTTAAAAATACAGTGGTTAAATTTAAACATTTTTTTCTATTGCTCTTTTTAAAAAAGGTTATAAAAAATGTCAATAATTATCGATACCGAACTATACGAAACAATACATCGTTGATCAATTTTTTAGCTATATCGCCCAGCCGTACTTTCACATACACAGAATTAGGCAGATAGTATGGCATCATCTATAAACAATCGTGCTTGAATTATGAATTTGAGTGACACTATGCAAGCTAGGTACTTACTAAAAAGGTTTCTGATTCGACTGGCACCAACACCAACAAACATCTCATCGAACTCTGAGCCAGATGCGTAGTAGAATGGCACATCTGCCTCACCTGCCACAGCACGGGCCAACAGGGTCTTTCCTGTACCTGGAGGCCCAACCAACAAGATTCCTGCAAATAAATGAATATAGATCATAAATATCATGAATATAAAAAAAACAAATAAATACTATTTAGGTAAAAAAAGAAAGAAATCTAAGGCTAAGTTTACACTAGTGCGTTTTCATTTTAAAACGCATAACTTGCTATGGTTACGCCTGTCGTTTACACTACCCCGGCGTTTTCGACCCTCGAAAACGGAGACTTTCGAAAACTCTGCAGACCCCATTTAGTTTGAAAAATCCAGGGTTGCGTTTCAGTGTAAACGGACCAAAACTTAGACTTTTGAAAACGATGGCATGGCTGGCCACATTTGCTCTGCGTATCCTTGACGACCGTGTAAACAATGACATCATGCACATTGTTGTACCTGCATGAATGGTCATGTGACCTGTGTTTTCGGTTGTGTAGTGTGGACGGAGAACGTTTCTGAAATGCAGTGAAAACACAAGTGTAGACGAGAATCGTTTTCATTTTCTAACGCAGTTTTAAAACGAAAACGCACACTAGTGTACACAGGGCTTAAAGCTGCTGATAGTTCAATAAAGCAGCTAACGGTGGCGATTAATAGGTCAAAATTTGATATCAGTCATTAATATTGAGCACATCTGTCAAACTCCCAAAATACAAAAAGGCACTGTTAAATATTGTGCATTATATTGCAAGTACTCACAAAGGCTTTGTATGAAGAGCAAACCAAAATAGAAGTAATTTTTTCTCAATTCAAAAATGTCACCATAAAACTCAAAATGTGCTAAAAGAAAATGGCATTGTAAATATAGACAACACCTAGATTTTTGTCTTTCTCACACAAAGCTGTAGTATGACTTCAGAGTGCTTGGAACACAGTGTGCGAGTCATATGGACTTGCTGGTGTCTTTTTTTTTTGTCCTGGATGTTATAGAAGCTAGGTGTAAGAATTCTTCAAAAATGTATTCCACAGAAGAAAAAAACAGGGTCTTTCCTGTACCTGGAGGCCCAACCAACAAGATTCCTGCAAATAAATGAATATAGATCATAAATATCATGAATATAAAAAAAACAAATAAATACTATTTAGGTAAAAAAAGAAAGAAATCTAAGGCTAAGTTTACACTAGTGCGTTTTCATTTTAAAACGCATAACTTGCTATGGTTACGCCTGTCGTTTACACTACCCCGGCGTTTTCGACCCTCGAAAACGGAGACTTTCGAAAACTCTGCAGACCCCATTTAGTTTGAAAAATCCAGGGTTGCGTTTCAGTGTAAACGGACCAAAACTTAGACTTTTGAAAACGATGGCATGGCTGGCCACATTTGCTCTGCGTATCCTTGACGACCGTGTAAACAATGACATCATGCACATTGTTGTACCTGCATGAATGGTCATGTGACCTGTGTTTTCGGTTGTGTAGTGTGGACGGAGAACGTTTCTGAAATGCAGTGAAAACACAAGTGTAGACGAGAATCGTTTTCATTTTCTAACGCAGTTTTAAAACGAAAACGCACACTAGTGTACACAGGGCTTAAAGCTGCTGATAGTTCAATAAAGCAGCTAACGGTGGCGATTAATAGGTCAAAATTTTATATCAGTCATTAATATTGAGCACATCTGTCAAACTCCCAAAATACAAAAAGGCACTGTTAAATATTGTGCATTATATTGCAAGTACTCACAAAGGCTTTGTATGAAGAGCAAACCAAAATAGAAGTAATTTTTTCTCAATTCAAAAATGTCACCATAAAACTCAAAATGTGCTAAAAGAAAATGGCATTGTAAATATAGACAACACCTAGATTTTTGTCTTTCTCACACAAAGCTGTAGTATGACTTCAGAGTGCTTGGAACAGAGTGTGCGAGTCATATGGACTTGCTGGTGTCTTTTTTTTTTTTGTCCTGGATGTTATAGAGAAGCTAGGTGTAAGAATTCTTTAAAAATGTATTCCACAGAAGAAAAAAAGTCATACAGGTTTGGTAGAATATGAGGTTGAAGCAAACAGAATTTAGGTTTAACTATTCATTTAAATGGTTCTGGCTTGGAGCCTTACAGCAAAAGTGTGTTCTTGCCTTTAGGCAGCTTTCCTCCCAAAACAGTGAACTTCTGTGGGTTCCGGAGGAACTCCACCACCTCCTGCAGCTCATTCTTGGCCTCCTCCACACCCTTCACATGCTCAAAGGTGACATTCTTCATCTGGACAGGATCCACTGCTGAGTCCAGGCCTGATGTGGTTCGGAATCGCACTGTCCGAAATGGTTACATTATAGTTCACACTCCAAACACACACAAAGCACTACACAGAGCTTTCTCAAAGCCACAAAAAAGGCATGAAAGGGGCAAGCCAGCCAACTGAGCATTATTGGTTTTCAATCCAAGCCAAAACTTTCACTAATGATTCAGATTTTATATTCACACTGGTAGACATGACACACAGGACATAAACTATACTGAATTTAGGGAGACAAATCACACATGCAGAAAATTCTACATAATATTTACCTGATAAGAAAGGAGTTTTTGAGAGTCCATATAAGCCCACCAGCAAAAGCACCAATAGTATCAGTCGCGTCCTCCTTAATGATTCTATTGGAGATGATATGTTTTTTTTTTTTAATACAATAATAAAGAGAGAAAGAAACAATCATATCAGGTTCAAAAACTTTCACCATTCAGTTCACAATAGACCTTAGTCAGTGTAAACCAAGGCTGTGAGAGACAAACCTACAGTATTTACAGTACTGTATAAAGGTACTAGATCTTTTGTCTACTGAAAGCCCAAAGACAACTTGCCTTGGGTTCTCTGTGTTAGGGCCTGAGCTTTTAGGAATCCCTCTGCAAAACCAGTCTTAAAAGCATCATGTTGACCATCAGGTATGTTTTTGTTTTTAAGGAGCTTGTCCAACGTTTCAACATCTGGCCCTTTGTCTCGTGTAAGGAAACCCTGATGGACAAAAACATAAATAACATTAAAACGGCAATCCAAACCTTCTTTTACAAAAGACATTTAAAATGTGCTAAAAAAAAAAAACCATAAAGCATAATTATTAAAGGTATATTTTGTTTTCTGTGGGCTACTGAACAATGCACCTGCACAAAAATGCACATGCACTTAAAGTCCATGTAAAGGCAATTCAAAGAATTGTTTCTAAAAACATTATAAATGTTAGAAATGTATTGCTGAAAATACGTTACACAGACTGAGAAATATGTAGTACTGAATTGTAGTACTGAGTTTTTCACCATTTTTTGGCGGAGCTGAAATAATGTCTCAATGATGCACTGGAGCCACTGAGCATGGCCCCTCCCCTAAAAATATAATACCGCTCTAGAAGCGGTACTTTGATGTCATACACCGATCGATCTTCGTAGTGCCACTTGAAGTGGAACACAACTAATAACTAGAGAGCATTAGCATCAGTGGTTTGCCCGCTCAATCACGAGTTACTGTCAAGATGATCAACAAAGTAGTCCATCAGTGGTTCAACTGTAGATCAACTTTGTCGGTCATCTTGGTATTTTTCTGGACCTTGAACGTGGTAGTTTCCTTGTTGTCTCCCTTGGAACTGGAATCATGGCGGAATATCATGTGAAGTCCACTTCGCAGGGCACTTACGGTCGAATAAGACAACGCTTTGAATGCTGCTGCCTGAACAAGAGACCTCCTTACTGAAGTGAAAGTGTTTGCTGGTGTCACTATCTCGCGAACGCGCCGGAGGATCTCCACCAAATTCGGGGGGATCCCTTCAGCTCGAGGAGCCCTCTCGAATGCCACCCTCCGCGCGTTGGTAGCCCCCCGGGATCGCTAGATCGGTCGGCGCCGGACCGCGAATTTAACCACCCCTAACTCC